AAAAAGGTCTGTAGTCTGACTGATAGTATTGGATGTTGGTGAGTAATATGCATTAACTATGGCAGAGTTGAAATTGTACTCGGAACGATCCACAGGCCTCATCAGTTTTTTAAAGGCATACTCTATTCCCCATCGCGCGACTTTTTCCAACATATCAGTGTAGGAATCAGTGCCATGCACATCCAGCTAAAATGGCATGTAGCTTTTCTCAGTTAAACTCAGAAAAATTGTACCGACACTGTCGTAGTACGCGTCGAGCTTTTCGTCATCTAGAATGAAGTCTGGGTAGGCTATCTGACGTAACATTTGGTTTGCCTTGTCCAAAGCTGACTATAACTATATTGTTTAACCGCTTAAAATAGCTCCAATCTATCGGCTTACAGCTTTGGTTTGATTGTCCATCCAGTCACTGGTGGTGAGGATTTCGTGAAATACTTCTTGCAGGTCATCGATCATTTCCAGTGTAACATTTTTTGACTCCTAAATCTGTGCTTGAGTTTGAAAAATGTAGGCCGTCTCATGTACCTGGTCGAATGCCTTCCTTATGTAAATCGCACTGGTAGCGTATTGCATATGTTCCAGTCGTTCCATAGTGTGGACGATGCAGTCCTTCCATCGTGGTGCTTTCTGCTGCTGCCCATACATGACCTTATTGAATTCCTAGAAAAATCTTGTTTACACTTCCAAGCTTTTGCCTTTTTCTACTAATGGTAAAGGTACGTCCTGCATGATTTCTTAAGACTTTGTTGCACTCCAGATATATTAGGTTGAAAAGTAATTGTAAGTTTGTAATTTGTTTCATAAATTTACTTTCTGTGGATGTTGCGCACCCAAACTTTGGCAGTACGTAGAAGGTAATGCGATCTACTACTGTGCACAAGCTATGTGACTTTCGAACACGAACCAAAAAAATTCAAAGCGTTTGAATAGGGAATTTCGAGAACTTTCAGGGTTGTACGTCAAACTGGAGGCCTTAGCAATCGAGACCATGCACAATGATCCGAAAACGTTTGTGGATTATTGCTAAAGGTTGATTTATCTACCTCAATTAAAAAGCAAAATTTGATTGTGATTTGACGCCTTCAAAAAGTTTATCGAGTCGCTGTACATAAGGCTTTTGGAGACAACCGTCAATGACTAAGGAGGCAGAAACCAATTCGCCGAGACTTCGCATAGGGTTTATTTGACCTGACAAACACGAAGAATATCATATTCATTTGTTGAATCAATTCCTTGATTAGGGTAAGACCTTAAATCTATACAATCTTACAGAAAAGCCCTTACCATGCAATTTCAGTGCCGTTTTCAGCGTGTCGTGTAACCCCCTATCCAATTCCAGCCAGAATCGAAAATTTTACGATCTTCCTCCTTGTACACGGTTGTTCGGTTGAAAATGGGACAGATTGATGTTTACTATATTTTAAGATTTTTTTCATGATCAGCAACAAGCAGGCTGCAACTCAAACGTGCTTACATAGGACCTTCGACTATCATTCCAGTAACGCGTGGCGTGGCGCCGCGAAGAACTCCGACAGGGTTTTTTCAACATTTTGCAGTCTTGCACTGTCATATAGAGTCATGAGGAAAGTGACATACCATTCGAAAGAGCTTTTGCTCTTTTAGATGGTATATAAATTATACGGAAATCCTCTTTATTTCTTAGATAAAATAGCAAAAAATTTGAAAGGTTGTGTTTTTGGAGCAGTAAAAAAACCGAAAAATTATGTTCCAACCCATACTTTCCGAAGATGGAGGAAAACGTAAGCTGAATATGGATCGATAGAGCGTAAAGAGCTTCATCAAATGGTAGCGAGGACGCTACCATCTGATAGGGTGGTAACTCGCAATTAATTAAATAAAACGTATCTTTGTTCTCACTGTCAATGGCCATATCTCCTAACTTTAAGCGTTGAGACCAGCAGGCCGTCGTAGGTTTGGTGACTG